CTCACCACTCTCTCTCTGTTTCCATCCCTGTATCAGCTCAAGAACTTAACAGGTCTAAACCAGCGCCGGTGAAAGGAAGGGGGGTAAGCTAGAGTGCCCGGAAGAAAATAAGTGGATAGATGAAAAGGGCTCTGAAAAGTATGAGGTGCCGTCCACGTAACCGAGTGTTAATGAGAACACACTGAAGGATTCCTGAGTCATTACCACAGCCACCTGGAAGCCACAGGGCACTTCATACGGTTCTGGCCCAGGACTGGGCCACTTCTTCAGTTCCTAATACCAGGCCAGGCCTCGTGATGCCTTTCTGCACTGCAGCTGTGTGAATGGGAAATGAGGCTCTCTGCCAAGCACTCAAGCCATGGAAACCCAGCACGTCCCTGTCATGGTCTCTTGGGCACCTTGATGATGTCTTAACCTTCCGAGAAATGCTCCCTGGGGCTCCCAAGCCAGAGTCAAGGGCCGAAGCTACCACAAGGTGGCAGCTCACCCCTGGCACAGCTCAGGCATGTGCACACCAAGGTGTTCCTTGCAGCCCCTTCCCTCTTCAGAGGTCCTGAGATGCTCAGAAAACAAACTGTCTCACCTGAGACAGGTGCCTGCTGGACAGAGGTGTGATCCCAGGCCTGGTATCACATTACACCAGCATGCATTGCAGGAGGATTATTAGCATATTTACAGTTTGTAAAAAGAATAATAAATATGTTTGAAGCAGTTTCCTTGTGTGCAGTTAGTTTCCATAAAGACCACGATAAGCATCTGAGATCCCAGAGGGAGACAGCAGTGCTGTGGGAAAGGCTCGAGGCTAGCAGCCAGGGGACTTGAGTTCTGGCCCTGGTGCCGCATAATACCCACTGGGCAGTTATGGCAGCTCTATTTCTCAGGGCCCAAGTCCTCCCATCAGTAAAATACTGTAACAGGAGGCTTCCCCCAAACCATCAGCTCCCTTGGCTGCTCTTGTCTGTCACCATTTCAGTGATACATTCTTTAGCCTCAGTAATTTTCTCAGCCTCTACACCGGTGGGGCTCCCATTACACATCTGGTTAACTCTGTGTTCTGCTTTGCTGTCTTTCCCCTAAGTCAGCTGAATATTGATAGGGCAAGTCAGGAGCTAATTGAATTTGAGATTTCTTCCTATGGGCCTTCCACTGTGTCCTTTCTGCAGCTCTCTTAATTCCTTGTATCTCTTGACACCCTGTGAAGTTTTTGCAGTAGCCATTCCAAACTTCATTGCAGTGTCTCCTGTATCCTTTATGTAGCACCATCCTCCACTCGGCGCACAACCATAATTCCCAATTTCCTGAGATGACACAGGCTGTGGAACAGGTAGTTGTCACCCTCTCTGTCTTGGGAGGAGGTGTGACTCCTTACTAAGGCAAACTCCTCTTTATCCTCTGGTTACTCTTCTGCCCTCTAAATGTGACTCCTGCCAAATTCTATCTTAGGACCTCTTTGTGTGAGCAGCTGCCACTTTTTTGGGGTCCATTCAAACCTCTTTCCAGGCTCTTTAAGGGACTTCAGTTATTCTCTATGGAGCATACGCCCCACCCGGTGTGCACTGCCAGGCACTGGGGGTGCGGCGAGGAAGAGCTCCCGCTCACTCACCACAAGTGCGCAGAATGGTGCGTTATGTTAAAGAGCCTTGTATCTTTCCCTGCAGTTTTCAGAAGTGTGTGGCCCAGACTTGAGAGTGGAAGGGAAAGGGCATACGCCATCATTCAGGTATATTTTGCTAAAGTATACGTGCATTATTAAAGTATACCCTTATTTTTCCATAGATATGCAAATTTACTGGGTTCTTTTTAAAAGCTTCATAGTATTTGTACGTGTGTATATTTATTCAGGTCTGTCAAAGGCTAGTGAGTTTTGTTTATCTTTTGCCATTCATTACAAACTATACTGCCGCGTGCGTCCCTGTACATGTATCTTAGTTTACAACTGCAAATATTTCTGCAGTATGAAATCTTAAAGTGTTATTGTCGAGTCAAGGGCGTATGCATGTTTTGCCAAACTACCCCCCCAGATGGCCGAACCTGGTGCGTTTTTAAAGCAGGTGGGGATAGAAAACGCCGGGCGCGGGCAGTTCTGGCCTCCGAGCAGCAGGTGGCGCTGCGAGGGCGTCTCCGCGAAGCGGCCGGGGCCGCGCTGAGCGACTTCCGGTGGCGGCGGCGGAAGGGCGCAGAGGCCGGTGGCCCGGGGTCGCGATGCCGTACGCCAACCAGCCCACCGTGCGGATCACGGAGCTCACCGACGAGAACGTCAAGTTCATCATTGAGAATACGGACCTGGCGTAAGGCTGCCGAGGGACGAGGCTGGGGGCTCGGGAGCGCCGGGAGGCCCGGGTCGGGCCGGAGTGGGGGACGGGGGTGATGGTCTTCCAGAGCCGCCGCCCCCTGGGCCAGAGCTTTAGCTTTGGAAACGTGGGGCTGCGGGGCCCTCACGCCGCTTGGTTTTTCATCCTTCAGGGTGGCCAATTCTATCCGGAGGGTCTTCATTGCTGAGGTTCCCATAATAGGTAAGCGACCCGGCCGCCCCACCATCCCCACACACGCCCTGGGGCTCCCGTCCTGGGGTGGGGGTGGGGGTGCTGAGAAAACTGCAGTGCTGGAGACTTGGTCAGACGCTGTGCCCTAGGCCACCTCCCCGGCTCCCACGGGCTGTTACCGAACCCACAAGGGGAGTTCAGTGTTGCCCGCCGCACAGCAGGGTTCGGCAACAGGGCCACCTAGGTCCACCCTTACACTGTATGTGCATTGCTCAGGAGCACGGGTTTAGGAATGTGGTAACTTGGGTTTGAATACTGTTTTCACGTACTGTCTTCGTGAAACTTGTGCAAGTCACTAAACTTCCGTGGGCTCTCGTGGTACTCATCAGGGTGATATCCTGGGTTAAGCAATGTAGTCCATATTAAGTGCCTTGCGTTTAGCCAGTGTTCAATACTGGTAGATTTTCCACTGCAATTATGGAGCATTGACATGCCAGGCATGGTGGTAGGCACTGGGAATGCAAAGCTGTTATAGAGCAGGGGTTTTGCCCTCACGAAGTTCACAGCGAGGTTGCAGGGGAGAGAGGAATCCACAGACAACATCAATACAAGATGGACTTTGATCAGTAGTTCAGAAGCCTAGCCACAGTGCAGCTGAACCTTACGGGAGGGAAGATCTGTTTCTGGTCTGGTTCCAGCCCCTCTGCTCCGGGTGTTTGATGCATTGACTACACTTGTATAGAATACCATAGTCACAGCTGCTGCATCAAGTGTTTAGACTTGTTTTTAAGGAAATAAGCAGGCCAAATGACTATTAAGCAAGAGAACATTGTTGTTGATACACCACCACCACCCCTAGTCACTTCAGCTTAGCTGGGATTGCCGGCCCTCCCTTTGCCTAATCATTTCATGCCTCTAGGCCTCAGTTTCCTCATGAGTAAAATGAGGGAATTGTATTAACACTTGGAGATGCAGCCCTGACATTCTGAGTCTAAATGCCACTTTCTTCACAAATCCAGTTCTGCAAGTAATATCGAGCACCCATGCTAGTACAGAGATATCTCAATACCCTGCCTCAAGGAATTTTTTGAAGCTTGAGATAGAGACAAGACATAGACAAATAGGACACAAGGCAAGTGTCTTAAGGGGAGTCTCAACAAAGTTTTGTGAGAAAGGAGTTCAGAGGCAGGGAGTGATCACATCCAGGGCACGGAGGGCAGGCAGGGCTTGGTTTTTTAGGAGGCTCAGAGGAT